ATGTGCAAACCACACATCTGATAAGGGGTTAATCTCCAAAATATATAAAGAACTCATGCATCTCAACAACAAAAAAACTAACAACCCAATTAAAAAATGGACAAAAGACCTGAACAGACATTTCTCCAAAGAAGATATACAGATGGCCAACAGGCACATGAAAAGACATTCAACATCATTAACTATCAGGGAAATGCAAATTAAAACTACAATGAGATATCACCTCACGCCCGTCAGACTGTCTATAATTAACAAGACGGGAAACAACATGTGTTGGAGAGGATGTGGAGAGAAGGGAACTCTCATAGACTGCTGGTGGGAGTGCAACCTGGTGCAGCCATTATGGAAAACAGTATGGAGATTCCTCAAAAAATGAAGACGATCCAGCTATTCCACTGCTGGGTATCTATCCAAAGAACATGAAAACACCAATGCATAAAGATACATGCACCCCTGTGTTTACTGCAGCATTATTCACAATAGCCAAGACTTGGAAGCAAGCTAAATGCCCATCAAGGGACAAATGGATAAAGAAGATGTGGTATATATACATAATGGAATACTACTCAGCCATAAGAAACGATGAAACCCAGCCATTTGTGACAACATGGATGGACATTGAGGGTATTACGCAAAGTGAAATAAGTCAGAGGGAAAAGGTCAAATACTGTATGATCTCCCTCATTAAGTAGTAGATAATAACAACAACAAACAAACACATAGAGACAGAGATTGGATTGGTGGTTACCAGAGGGGAAGGGAGGAGGGAGGAGGGCAAAAGGGATAATTAGGCACATGTGTGTGCTGATGGACTGTAATTAGCATTTGGGTGGTGAACATGAGAACATGATGTAATCCACGCAGAAATAGAAGTATAATGATGTACACCTGAAATTTATACAATGTTATAAACCAATGTTACCACAATAAACAAAAAACAAAATAAAATAAAATAAATATTTGAGCAGTGTCTTCACTCCCAGTCCGGATGTCCCACTTCCAACGACCATTCTCCTGAACTCCAGTCCTGACTCTGCCAGGACCAGCTAACCCTGCCTGCTAGGCTGACACCCCCCAGATCAGGGACTGGGTCTTTCTTATCACCACTGTATATCCAGGCTACTAACCAGCACACAGGAGGCATTTAATAAATACATAGTCAGTGAGTACATGAATGGAACTTCACAGCTTCAATCAACCTCAAGATGTTTACAACCAAATGTGTTGTATTTTTCTCCCAAAAACCTGGCTGCCCTTCCCAGCTTCTTTATACCTCTGAAGAGAGCCACCTCCCATCAGACAAGCCTAAAGGTACGATTTGTCTTTTAATCTTCCACTATCATTATAAGACCTCTGCCACATCATGTACTCAACACTGTGCTAAACTCCATACTCAGACTTGGTCATGTGACCCTCACTAAATTGGGATAAAGGAGGAATCACCCTGCCCCCATTTGAAGATGCACCAATTTACATAATCCCCACGTGACCCCATGAGGGGGATACATTTTGATGGCCATTTGACAGATGAGGAAACCAAAGCAGAGAGAGAAGGTAGTCTGCCCCAGTTGCAGAACTCATAAGAAGTAGAGATGGGATTCTAACCCAGATCCCTGTGGTCCAGTCTGTGCTCCTCATCACCACGCACAACATCTCTCATGCAAGTATTGATTTACGCTTGACACCTGGCTGTTTGGGGCCCAAATCCTCCAACAAACCCTCTCGGGCGATCACCCCTCACTCTCACCTCCCTCAACCTTGTCTCCAGCTCCAGCAGACGGTTCTTGTCACTGTGGTCTTGGTGGCTGATTTTTTCCAGCTGCTCCTCCAGCTTTCGGTTCTGAGCCTCCAATTTCCCAGCCTGCGTCTCCAGGTAAAATTTCTGTTGCCTGAGTTCTGAAATCATCTCTTCCTGGGCCTTCCTGGTGGGGGTGGTGGGGGGAGCCAAGCAAAATCATAGTCTCATTAGAGGTGAGCATGTCCCCTCAGAAGGACAGACAGAAACAGAGCAAGAGAGCTGTCTTAGTAAGTGGACCACGGTCATCCCCAGTTAGCTCTGTCCTGGCCTCACGGTCATCCCCAGATTAGCTCTGTCCTGACCAGGCCTCGTGTGCATGATCCCAGCATGGGGACCTGGGGCCCATTTAATCCTCCCTGCTCAGTATCCCTCACCTGTGGGATTAAGCATGATCAAGGGGGATGCAAGAGATACTAAAATTTCATTCTTCTGGCAGATTTTTTTCTTGAGGCTATAAGAGAGCAAAAGGGGCCCCCTTAGAGTACAAGTGTACCCCAACAACTCATCAAGGCGGGTGCTGGGGAAGGAAGGGCAATGAGGAGAAAGAGCACTATTCCTTCTACTTCTCTGCTCACCTCTCCACCCGACTGCTCAGAAGTATCAGAAACCGGAAGGACTCAAAGACCAAAAAGCAGTCTACCAAGCTGGTTTGAACTAAGATGGAATGTTTTAGGAGATGAAATTTAAGAAGGAAAAAAAATCCTGGAGACTATAATTCTTTAGGGGAAAAGATGAAGATCAAAGTGCTCCTGGAACACAGAGAGTCCTTGCTGAAGCCCAAACTTCATCCAACCCCCAGGGTCTAACGTTAACAACAGCAAAATGGAGGGCCCAACTGCCCACAAGATCTCCTCTGGCCAATTACAGGAGGCGAGTGTGGGGAACGAGGACGCAGCTTTCCCAAAGCAAACTATGAATAGCCTCATTAGAGAGAGCAAAACACTCTGCAATCTGACGGCAATTTGAAGCATTTAAGAAAACCCAGCTCAAAAGAGAGGACATGGTCGAGTGAGACCACTTAAGAGAGGGCAACATTATATAAATATGGGGGGGCTGGGCCAAACTACAGAAGTAATTAAAGCTGTTCCAGCTCCATCAGATGGAAGAACAGAGTATACGCCCCAGTAGAGAAGACCAAAGTGTAATCACGCACGCAGTTAGAATGTGAATACTTACATGTTCCTCTGGGTAAAAAGACTGCTGTTTGCCGCAAGTTTATTGGCTTCCGACAATTCCACAATCCTCTGTTCCAGAGATCTGATCTTGGAATCCATAGCATTGATCATCTGAAACACAGGGGACCTTTGAAACCTCACAGACAGACAGTTCTACTCAGAAGGAAAGTAATGTAAGCCATGTGGGCTGGGGTGAAAGTGTCATCTGAAATGCAGGCAATTTGACCAGAGGGAACAAGGGACTCAACTAGTCTGTACCCTGAGGATCACAGATCTTACTGCTCAAAAGGATGGCACTCACTTGTTTTATCAAACAGAGACTAAACGTCCCCACACAAGCTAAGTGGCTTGCATTAAAAACATGCTGAAGGACCTATTCAGGAACAGGACATTCTGCGAGTAAGCAGGCCTCATTAAATCCCCGTGTCATCTGCGTGTGGCCTGAGCCTGCAGGAGCCTCTAACTTGAATCTGCAAGTTCATATTTCTCATCAACCATGGGGTTGTCATTTTCGAGTGATTCCTTCATTCAACCACTACTGTCCTAGATTCTCTACATCAAAGTTTCCCCAACTTAATGAAATCATAAGAATCAGGGGGGTGCTGGTTAAAAATATAACTTCCCAAGACCTTCCTTTAGAGATTCTGATGTGAAAAGTCTCGGCAGGATCTGAGATGATATGTAGATTAACAAGCACCACAGGTGAACCTTAGGAGCAGTAAGTTTCTGAGACATTTGCCTACATGGATTAGAAAGGAAAGAAGTGAGTGAGTAGAAAGAAGACCCGTGAGGGAGACCTAGGGCCCTGGCATTTTGTCAGGGGTCATTTTGAAGGACAATGTTCTAGCTGATGTCAGATCAGCATGAGTCTTAAAAAAGAGCGTGAAATGCAAAATTGGCCACCCTGAGCCACCACCCACTCTGCTTTTAGGAGAGGAAGGAGTGGCAGAGAGAGCTTTAGGTTAGCAACAAACTCCACAGGATTAAACAGAAAGACTAATTCATCAGATGAATGGACTCTTCTCAGGTCTGTGATTCCTGGCATGCTTCACAAACCCTCCTTTAAAAACTGGCTTTATGATTCCTTAAACCTACCGCCTTCTGCTCGCTGAGAATTTTGCCCTTCTCATGGGCCTCCTCCTCGTGTCTCTGCATCAGGTTCTCTAGAGTCTCCTTATCAGCCAGGTCTTTCTTTATCTGATTGTCCAACACCTACGGGAAACAAAAGAAGAAGTTAGTGTCCTGAGTAGTAAAGCTGAGCAGGGAAGACAAACCAGGAGCACTTGAGAAAGGTGGGGAAAGGAAGAGAGGAGGCGAAAAGCAGTGGAGAAGCCAAGCCCTCCAAACTCTGGGGCAAAGAGAGGAACTGGGAGTCTGTTTATCAGCCAGGATGAGATCAAGAAATCAAGTATTACCATCAAATGGCAAGTAAGAACTTATTTTAAGTTCTATTTAAGAACTAAGAACTTATTTTAAAATCAGCAGCCAAAAAGACCCAAGAGGTATATCCAAAACAGAGGTAGACTCCAAAATGAGATGGAAAAAAAGATCTTTCTACACATCTTGTAATTTGCAGATGTTACCTAGGGACAACTTTATCGGAGCCAATGCACCAGTAGTTTTCAGAACACTGCTTGCTCTTAATTTATACAAAATTAATCTAGATATCTCTGGGCTGTGGACGGAGGGACAGAAAGCTGAAGACCGAGGAAGACTGTGTGACCAAGGCTGATGTTCAGAAACAGCCAGGGACAAGAGGATTCTGCCCACCAATAAAGTAGGTGGAGTGTCAACAGATTGAAAAGACAACATAAAAGAACGGAAAAAAAACGTCTCTGTCCTCCGTTCTTTCCTCTGATCCAGCTGGAAAAAAAGTCACTGGAATGAGAAACCTTTCCCAGGGGATGAGAAATCATGTGTTCTCAGTGCTGAGAACACCACTGTAAGCACCTACTGTTCCCAAGAGGAAAAAATAAAATAAAACAGTAATGGTGTCACCATCCACCAGCTTGATCTAATGTTCTGCGAGGCACACACAGCCCGGCCAGTCGCCAAAACAACAGGCAAAAAGGAAAGAAAAAAAGGAAGACAACATCATAATTTGTCCAAGCCTTTGACCACAACCCTGTGTTTCTCCTCACAGAGAATCCACTCTGCTTTTCTGAATGACACCAACTGTCTCTGATATTGGGAAGAAAGCTGAAAGAATTGGGGTCACAGATGGGATTGAAATCTGCCTTTCCCACAATGTCTATTGTGAAGGGACCTTCATAGCTCATGGGGACATCGTCCCTAAAAAGAGCCAGTCAGCAGGGAGGGGATCCACATGATAAAGAAAGGAAAGAACAGATTTCAAAAAGCGCTTTAAACTAGAACCGACTGATGAAAAAAATAGAATGAGAGTTGGTGGAGAAGAACAAAAGGTGGAAGACAGGGTCATGGAGGAGGGAAGAGGCTCAGTAGGATAAGTGGCCCTTTCTCTTGGATGTCAGGGCGTGATTCTAAAATTATGAACAAGAAAAGGGACAGAATCTAGGGTATGATAATTATTAATAAAATTGCCTTATAGAAGCTAGAACAGGAAACACAAAGCAGAGCAGGCTAAAAAGAAATGGTTTCATGAAGACTCCAGGAGGAAAGACAGAAGAAAACAGATCTTTCTCTAACACTCTCTAGGATCTATAAAGCACAGTTCTCTCCATCCAGAAGGTAGCAGAGACCACATAATACCTAGACCAGGTATGCTCCTTTTTTATGAGGTGCTAAAGCAATGAAGCACATCTTCAGGGTGACTCTGCTCAAAATAAGAACTCAACTTTGGCAGAGATGGATAGCAGTGAGAGGTAAGTGTGGCCAGAAGGAACAAGCCTCTATCAAGAATGTATGCATCTCAGCTTTAATAGGGTTAATCTGGCAGAAGATGAACAAGAAGACGTGTGCAGCGGAAGCAAGGAATTTGTTTCAAATGAGAGATTCCACTGTAGACATTTATATCAATTTAAGACAGAACATGGCTTTTTGACAGGAAAGTCAATATAATCACTCAAATCACAGAACGAATTTTGCAAAGGGTTGTTTCCATCAGGCAAAGGTGCCAATGGACTACTGTATACATTCTCATAATTTTCTGAAAGTTAGTTTATTCCAAAGATAAAAGTCTGGAAGCCAGTAAGAATTCAAACCAAAAGGACTGGTATATAAAATTTAAAATGCATTAAGTAGGGGGTCATGCTAAAACACTTTGAGGTCACTTCTGGGTTATTTCCCTGTATTTCTTTTAATGAAAAATAACCAAGAGTAACACCAGGGGTAAAAGAAAGAAGGTGCCAGGGTGGTGATGGTGAAGATGCTGTGTGAGCATGTACGTGTTCCGTTCTCCAAAAAAGGAACAGTCAACTCTCTGAGAACACCAACCACATCGATAACAGGATCATCACAAAAATTAAAAGCCTCCGTCGATGTCTGATTTGGAAGGAGAAGAGACAATGTTTGAGATGAAATGACTGACGTCTAATTCTCAAGAACATAAGAATTGAGTTAAAGGCGTGGTTCAAAATCATAATGAAAATGTGATGTGATCTTAAAAGGAAATAGATTGGCATCCATTTCTGATCACTGAATTTATTAATAATAATTGAAATAATCATTTCAATAATTGAAATGATAATCAGATTTATTATTTTATATGGTGGGCTAGATTATTTAGGCCAGCTCGTCTACGGAAAATGATTTAAAATGCTAGATAAAATATGCAAAACTTTTTCCCAAAAGCACCTAAAAGTTGGCAAGAATGTAAGAAATTACAGACTAAAATCTAAGTGAAAGCAGAAACCCAGAGAGGTAAGAAGGGCACAAAGCTGTCTTGAACTCGAGGTATTTGCTGAACCAAATAAACTTGGGCTTCACTCTTAATAGCCTCAAAGGGTAAGAAGACGGAGAAATCAAAGCCCAAGGCCACTGCCTAAGGTGGACACATTTTCACCCAAGGCCTCAAAGAATTCCCATTAATAATTTCCCAAGGAAAACGAGCAGCTGCGCCAGCACAAGGAGACAGGTGCCATGAAAAAGAAGCAAGAGAAACGACAGAGCGGAAACAGACCTCCAGACACTTCCGATATTGGAATTATCAGATACAGAGCATAAAACAACTCTGCTAATAGGTTTAAGGAAATAAAAAACAAGCTTAAAAATGAAAGCAGGGAATAGAAAATTACTGTCTTACATAATCTAGTAAACTTGGGAAAGAACCAAACATTGTCTAGAAACAAAAAATATAATAACTGAAATTTAAAACTCAATGGATGGGTTTAACAGCAGATTAGACAGGTAAGAATTAGTAAATCAGTCAGAACTTACCCAGAATGTAGCACCAAGAGATAAAGAAATGGAAAATATGAAAAAAGGATAGATTGGAGGTGATCTAACACATGCCTAATCAAATTCTCTAAAGGGAAGGAAAGAGAGAAGGGGAAGAGACAATATTTGAGATATAACAACCAATAGTTTTCCGGAATTGATTTAAAAAAAACGAATAGATTCAAAAGTCCAGTATGTCTCAAGCAGGATAAATAAAAATAAATCCACATCTAGACACATCACAGTAAAACTTCAGAAAATTAAAGACAAAGCAAAATTTTAAAAGCAGCCAAAGGGGAAAAAAAAAGATTACTTTCAAAGAAAGCAACAGTTAGACTGACAGCTGACTTCGCAAAAGCAATAAAAAAAGCCAAAAATCAATGGAACGATATCTTCAAAGTGTGTTAGAATTCTAGGATCTGCCATCCTAGAATTCTATCCCCAGTCAAAACAACTTTCAAGAATGAGGGTGAAATAAAGACATTTTCAAACAAAACAGAGAGCTTGTCACCAGCAGATCTTCACTAAAGAAAGTCCTCACGGATATACTTTAAACAAAAGGAAAAGGATTCCAGGTCTGAGTTGCAGGAGGGAAATTAAAAGCAAAGAATGTGGTGAGTCTGTGGCTAAATCTAAATTATCTTGGATCGAATGCCAGTGGGTCAAAAAATATTTTAAAGATGGAATTGAGACACACAACAACCAAATAAAAAAAAAATTTTTTTTGAACTTCTGATATCCAAAACCCTACATGGATAACACCTCAAAACCTCCCACCATGGCCTGAGGATAGCATTTACCCCAGACAGTCCTTTGGTCTAGCAAGAAGTGGCCCAGAGTGCCAAGAAAGAGAGAGAAGCTATGTAGAGCTATAGGAAGAATGTCAGGGAAGATCAGAAAGTGTCTTTACTTTAATTTTTTCCTCGTAGTGCTGCTCCTTTTGTTTCAGGTGCACCTCTAGGTGCTGGGCTGAGACCTGGGCCTCCCGGTGCTTCTCCTCCAGCTCCTGGACACAAAAGAACAGACGGTCAGGTGTGCAAAAGGAAAGTCACAGCCGGTGTATGTTAGACATTCACAGGAAACATGACTTTGGCACAGGCACCACAGGCAACAGGCATCTATCTGTTCCTTCATTACCAGCCCTAAGGCTCTTGGGAAGGAAACCAACACCGATCCTTGGCCCTGGGTTTTTCCAAGTCCAAGTATTCACACACATACACACACACAGCTGGTGGGCTGGGACCAGAAATCTGTCAGTGTGACAGGTCACACCAAGGCAGCTCTTCATCTCTGCACAGAGAAATAACAGTAACAAAAACAACATTGGAAAGTTTAGTACACCACAAAGCCCCTGACCACTAACTTGAGCCTCAGGCTATTTTCACTGCTATGAGAGCCTTAAATGAGAAAAGGAATTTTAATTTATTTTCAAGTTAATTTATTATGATGATAAAAAATATTTTGTATTTTCCTCATCAACAAAATGATTGCTCAAGAACCCTAGCTAAGAATGAAAACTAATGTTACGATTCAAACACTTTGAGTTTTGAATGATTATTTTAACTAACTGGTATGTGGAGGATGCAAACATCTGGAGATGTTCATATGATATCACTTTTATAGGATACGACGCTAATGGAAACAAAGCATAACATAAAATACACTGATAATGACGTAAATATGTATGCATTTATACTAAAGATGGGAAGAGAATGTGGAGTAATAAATAGCTCAAATTTAAGGTTCTCTTCATTCTTGTATTAAGATTTCTGCTTTTAAACAAAATTGTAATTCATTTGAAAATTGTACCAACTCATTTGCCAATGTATTATAAACTCATCTTATAAAAGGCAGCATTCAATTCACTGAAACATTCTCTAAACGCAGATATCTGCATCTACATTAATTCTTATGAATCTAGACCCATTAGTTGATTACTAATATCAAAAGTCATTACTCCAAGTTTTCATCTCTTCACATTATTACGAAATTTTTCTCTGAAGTGGAAGTAATTATGAGAATTTTGAAGAATGAGGAAATTATACAGGATATGTCCACAAAATGGGAACACTTTCAGATTCACGTGCACATAAAATGTTACTGATTAAGCTTTTGCAATTCTCAAGTTTACAAGCATTAACTGTGCTTTGGGGGCCAGTAAAGTGTTCAGTTTTAAGACCAGGTGCACAAGATCTATCGCAAGCTAACAGATGTGATCTTGAAAAGTTGAATGTAAACAGGATTTTACTTAATAAAAACATACTTTAAGGGCTTTATGAGCACTAAAAGATCCCCTATGATGACTTCTTTTATTAAAGCAAAAGACTTTGCTGTAATGAGAACCCCAATTATCTGTTTTGAAAGGTCTTATCAGAATGGCAAATATTTTAAAGCAAATGACATTATAAGATCTGTTTCCAAGCTTCATCATCATATAACAGTATTAAGGACCCACCCTTTGCCCATGTCCTAGATACTTTGCTGCCTAAGCACAGGGTTCTTGAGCAAAAGGCACCTTCGATAAATAAAGTCATAACCACAAAGGTACTCAGGCAGGTGGCAAGATACACTTGATAAGAAAAATCACTTGATAATCATCTTTTCTTAGTTCATTCCTCATAAGACAGCACAGGAATGGAAATCAGAATCTAAAAACAGGTCGAAAACTCAGATACCTGAGACTGATGACTTTAAGACCGAATTTCTGGTCTATATATAAATGGGAGTTTACAACACATAATCCAAGAACGCGGAATGCTATACTCCCACATTGTAATTGTAAGTGAACCTTTGGAAAAGTAGATACTCTAAAATCTGACGTCTTGGCCACTTGGCATTTTTTGTTGTTGTTGTCATTTTTTTCAACATTATCTTTTCTCTACATATTGGATCAAATTCTTCAGTCCTGTTATGCAAACGCTGTTGTTTGTTGCTGTTTCCAGCTCCTAGAACAGTGCCTGGCACATAGTAGAAGCTCATTAAATATTTGTTGAATGAATGAATGAACACATCACCGTTAAACAGAGAAACACTTTGCAACCACAAGAGACTTAACCACTTTGTTCCCACCAATCAAGGGAGAGCGGTGGTTGGATCTAATTTTACTCACAATAAAATTCACACACTTGACAATCGCCAAGAGGAACTCTGATGATAGAACAAGAGAACAGAAAGGGCAGACTAACAGTCACATTTGCCTTTGTGTGCAGACGTAAATATGAAGACTGTGTGTCAAAGCAAAGCAATTTAACCAATTTCTCTTTTAGTTGTTTGCTCAAGAGCATCCATATACTCATGAAAATATATATATACACAAAGACATAAATGTAAAGTTTTGAAGGGTTTTTCTTTTGGTACTAAGTATAGGCCTCTAAGTTGGCCATTCTTGAGTTCATATAGTTGCTGGTGACTCATTTCCCAGAAGTGATGCAGAGAGAGAGAGAGAGAGATGAAGTGACCTGCTCACCACCTCGCCTCCTTATGGTGGAGAGGAACAGCCGACTACTCCAGAGTCTCTCCTGGGGGTGGGGGAAGAGGAGGCTGTGAACAGACTCCGAGTCATCACTAAGTCTCCCAAATGTGGCGTCAAATTCCTGGCTTTGGGACTGAGATCCAAGGAGAGTCCTTCAAAGGTTCACCTGCCTTCCACTTTGGCAGGGGCAAAACTTCAACATATCTATAAGCACCACCCGAACGTTCCTTGATTAAGTTAATTTGGTCATCAGAGCCAAAAACAGAATCACGATGATTACACACCTAAAAAAAGATCTGCTCCATCTAAGGAAATTGAAAAAAAAAATAATAATAATAACGAACTGTAGCAGAGAGAGTGAGTGGGTGAACATGGGTCTATGACAAACACTACTCTGAGAAAAACAATTCTGCATGACTAATTTCTTCCTTCTCCAAAAGCAAGAATCTTGGGTTTTGGTCTTTGTTCTAAATCCCTACAGCTTTTTAAGTTGGCATTGCAAAGTTAACAGCCATACAAAACTCTGCTGATGGAAGTACATAAATGCTCCTGAAAGAGGGTATCGGAAATGACCGAGCGTGCACGTTCATATTAAAAAACGTCAGGCAGTATAGCAAACAGAGAAAAAAATATTGATGGATCTGTTACCAGCGCTGAAACATCCAACATTTGGTTATTCGTGCTACTCTGTGACGTGGCATACACTGAAACCACTTCTCTTAATTCACCTACACGGCGATACCTCCCCTGTGACGGTGTTTAATTCTCTTTACCCCCTTCCCTCTGCAACCTCTAACCTGTTATCTTTTAACTTTTCAACTTTTGTTCCTGCTCACCAGAATTTTATCAGCCATCTGCTGGATCTGTTGGGATTTTGTCTGGATGTCATCCTTCAGTCTGTTTTCTCTACGCTCCATGGTCTCTAGCCTCTTTACCTTGTTCTCCAGAGAATGGCGGCGTTCCTGTAGATCACGAATCAATCAGAGAGTTTTAATGGAGTAACCGCTATGGGTGTAATGCCTGCACCGAGAAAGAGAGCCTTCAAGAAGCATACACTCGAGGCAGGAAGAGAAGTCTCAGGCACCCCGAAGCAACAGCGAAGGAAAGAAGACTCTATAATTCAATTACTCAGTTGTGGAGGTTACCAGAGTGCATTCATTCATTCAAATATTTACCAAGCACCTACTATCTGCAAAGTACCACACTAGGCATCACAGAAAATACAGAGAGGAAGCCAACATGATTCCTGCCCTTGGAAAAGATAAGACAAACACAAAGAAACGTAATACAGGTTAAGAGCAGGAAGAGCCAGAAAGCAAAGAAGTACAGAGCGCTGTGGGAGGTCGCAGGCAGGAAAGGGGGCTTTTACGGGAACAGGTGAGGGGAGGAGTCACAGAGATGTGAGCTGTGGAGAGGGCTGGGATATGGGGGGCTGGAGTGGGGAGAGCAGGAGAGGAAGGGGGAAGGCCTTTCAGACAAGGGCAGGTGCGTCGGCAGAAATATGAGCCGGTTCAGGCCCCAGGTAGAGTGGCTACAGCATAAGATGCATTAGGGGAAGGAGCAGGAGACAAGGTGAAAGGGAAGCATTTGTGGGTCAAATGGTTGAGTTTAGGTACCAGGCTCAGGGGTGCACCTAAGATGCATGGGAGCTCTGAAAGGTTTGGGAAGGGGCAGGGGATGCTGATGAGCCTTGTGTTTGAGGACCATGAGTCTAACATCACGTGAGTGAGCTGGGAGGAAGGAGAAACTGGAAGCAGAAGGCCAAGAAGTCACTACATTTGCTCAGCTGAGAGGAAAAGGGCCTGGACCATGAGGAGGCCTACAAAAATGGCAGGTAGGGGATGAACGGGGGAGACAGTGTGGCTTTATTTGTAGGACTGAGTGATTCACTGAATGGCAGTGTCCAAGGAGAAGCAGATGATGTCAAGTTTTCAAGCCTGGGGTGACCGGATGAATGATGGCGGCCCTGAGGAGCGTGAGGAGATTGAGAAGGGAAGACACTGAGCTCATTCTAGATTTGATGCACTGTTCAGATACCCAGTCGAGATGTCAGGGGAGCAGTGGGAAATACTGCCTGGAACGTGGGTGACGATGGCCCCAAAGAGACACGTGCAAGTAGGTTCACTGCCTGTGATCGAGAAAGCAGAAGGCCCAGCAACAGGGGGATGGTTCAATCAGCTATAGCATTCCGTGGAACAATCACCAAGGTGCTGGGGGAGGCGCAGAGTAAAGGGGAAGTGTCCCTTTTTATTCTATTTTCTTCAGTACTGTTTAAGTCTTTTACAATGAGAAGACACTCATGTATATCCTGTATAATTATATAAAAGATTTCAACAACAACAACAACAACAAAGAATTTGAGGAAGAGAAGAGGCCCAAAAGTACAAATCGGGGAGTCATCAACACACGGGTAATAGCTGAAGGCTTGAAAATTAATATGTTATTAATACTGTGGGGAAAAGGCAAGGAAAAACAAGGGTACAGAGGGAAGAAAAAGAAAAACTCAGGAATGGCAGCAGAGTTCATCTATCTAAACATAAATCCTCCCAGATTAGTCAGCAGGTCAGAGGAAAACACATAGAAAGGAAAAGCTTTTATTAAAACATCTTTCTACTCGAAGCTGCTGTGACAAATCTTTCTCCCCTTTGGGGAAAACATTTCCAAGCTTCTCAAGTTTCAAAGGGATTCGCCGAAGGGAAAAAGGTTTGGTCAAACATAAGCAAGGGATGGTTTGCCCGTTCTTTCCCGTGGTACAGGTCACAGTGGCTCACACACAGCCACACTGGGACCCCAGGTCCGTCCACCACGGGCTAGAGGTCCCCTGCTCACCTCGGCTTCAATCAGCTTCTTTTTTATGCCTTCAGAAGAATCCTCACGGTTCTGCAGCTTCTCCAGCTCACGCTCAGCTCGCTCTTTTGCCTGGCGGATATTCTGCAGCAGCTCGGTGGCCTCGGCGCTGGCTTTCACAGCCTACCAGGAAAGAAGGAACAGGACAGACGGCCAAATTTATTCATGTAAAAAGATGGTGGCAATATCCTAAACAGAAAAAATCAGGTTACACTGCCTATATATATTATATCCATTTTTCAAAACATATAAACATTCATTTTATTGTGTATTTTGTCTATACTAAGGTGCACTTATATATATTTTAACATCACTGATTTTGGAATGCATCCTATGATTAAAATTGACACTATTTTTTCTATCTTGGGGTACATAAGATAATAGTGTATTTGACAATCATTAGTATCTTAGATTCAATGCAACATAGTAAATGCAAACAAAAAGGTCTGGAAGGATTTATCTACCCATGTATTAATGTACTTACCCTGGGGCATTAACTTTCTCCTTATTTAATTATCCCATTTGCTAATTTCCTATGGGGAATTTGTAGTACTTTTACAAGAAAACAAGACAAAAACTATAATTTAAACTTTTTTTCAAATAAATGCCTTTCAAAGGGCACAACAACCATAGTATTTGTGGCAGGTTGCAAGTCCACGTTTTAAAAAAACAGCTAAATCTTTTGAAGTTAACTTTTATTTAGGTCTTAACTATATTGCAGCTCTTATAGCATCATAGTAAAGATCTAAGTTTAAAAGACCAACCACCTCATACTTACTTGCTTTAAATTATAATTTTAAAAAGCAGAAACTGCAAGAAAACTCCAACTTCTTTTTTTGTTTTTTTTTTTGTGAGGAAGATCAGTCCTGAGCTAACATCTGATGCCATTATTCCTCTTTTTTTTTTTTTTTTTTTTTTTGAGGAAGACTGGCCCTGGGCTAACATCCGTGCCTATCTTCCTCTACTTTATATGGGACGCCACCACAGCGTGGCCTGACAAGCGGTGTGTCAGTGCACACCCAGGATCGGAACCCGAAAACCCCAGGCCGCTGAAGTGGAGCTCAGGCACTTAACCACTGCACCACCAGCCAGCCCCAAGAAAATTCCAACTTCAAGACCAGCACTGTCCAACGTGGGAGCCACTAGCCACATGTGGCCCTTGAGCACTTGAAATGTGGCTGATGTGACTAGGAAATTAATTTTTAATTTTATTTAAGTTTAATTCATTTAAAAACTGAAGCAATGTAAATGTTGTAATATTGATACATGCTGCAATGATATTTTGGAATATCTTGGATTAAATAAACTATGTCATTCAAATAATTTCACCTGTTTCTTTTTGCTTTTTTTAATGAGGCTACCAGAAAATTTAAAATTATATCTGTGGCTGACATGTGCGGCTTACATCACACTCTATTGGAAAGCACAGTCCTAAATGGAAACATGAATCCTCACACAAAATTCTAGCTGAAAGAGGGCAGCAGAGGCTTTCATTAGTGAGCTCAAGAATTCGGTAAGAAGGGGACAGATAAATGGATAAAGAAAATGTGGTATATCCATACAATGGAATATTATGCAGCCTTAAAAAAGAAGGAAATCCTGTCACATGCTACAACATGGATGAACCTCAAGGGCATTATGTTAAGTGAAATAAACCAGTCACAAACAGGACAAATACTGTATGATCCTACTCATATGAAGTACAGTCATTCATTGTTTAACATTGGGAACACGTTCTGAGAAATGCATCATTAGGCGATTTTGTCATTGCGGGAACATCACAGAGTATACTTACACAAACCTAGATGGTATAGCCTACTACACACCTAGGCTATATGGTACTAATCTTATGGGACCACCGTCGTATATGCGGTCCGCCATTGACTGAAACGTCATTATGCGGTGCATGACTGTATCTAGAGTAGTCCAAATTATAGAAACAGAAGATAGAAAAGTGGTTACCAAGGGCTGGGGGGAGGAGGGAACAGAAATTAGTTTAGCAGGTACAGAGTACCAGTTTTGCAAGATGAAAAAGTTCTAGAGATCCATAGCACAACTTGAATATACTTAACACAACTGAACTGTACACTTAAAATGGTTAAGATAGTAAATTTAATGTTATGTGTTTTTTACCACAGTAAAAAAAAAAAAAAAAAAAAAACAGAATAAGTAAGAAGGGGCTCTACTAAACTAAGCCAGTAAACACATTCACAAACTTTCTTGATGTGAAAGGCATGTCTCAGAACCACGTTCATTCCGGCCCTTCCATAAGCATTTCTAGTGTTCAACTAAAGGGAGAGTCACCAGCACAAACTTTGCAAGATGCTGTAAACCGAAGCCGCCCCCTCCCAACTACGAGATAACTCCATGGCTCCTCCAGCCTTCCAATGTGCAGGAAAGCTGCCCACAGAGTTTCTGACTGAAAGCAGTCTGGGTCGTGAACAACACATGCTTCTCTTACGAATGTGCAAAACGGGGAGCCTGGCCCCGTGAAGGAGAGAAGCGGGCCTCTTGGGTTCTGTCGTAATATAATTAGAACTTTACTTGAGAGTCTCACACAGCTTGGTTTTTAAAAACAAACACTGCTGACACGTCTCAAAAGGAAAAAGTAAATTCAGAATTCATATTTTCAGGTAATAGCTCACTCCCCTTTCATTTTCCTCTGCGCTAGGGAACTAATTCTGTTTCTTTCATCTTTCATGCTCCAGGACAAGGCAAAGAAAAGTATATAGAAATGGGGGGTAAGTTTCCAAAAAATCACCTTGGGCTTACCTTTTCCAGCTTCTCTTGGAGATCCTGAATTTTGAGCTGCTGCTCAGCATTGATCTATAATTAAAATCCCAGGAAATAAAGCAAAAGGCAAATCGGCATTAAGGTCTTGCTACATGTACGGCAGTCCTATTTTCTTGAAGTTTCTGTGGGGTCTTTTGTTTTGTTTTCCAGTACCTACTAATGGAGAGGAAGAACAGTGGCCTATCAGAGGAGCCTTTGAATGTCCCAGTGCAAACCTCCATGTTGACTATTTCTCTAGAACCAGCAACACACAGATGGCAAAAAGAGAATCAAAGTCGTGCCTTAAAACAATAAGAATTTTTACATGTGTTTTACTCAGAGTCTGGGTCTATTTGTTGCTGTGAGCATGACAAAATGAGGTGTCTTTTATCCCTTTTAGAACCCTAGCTGAAGCTAAACGTGGCCATCTAGAGGTTGACTATCCAAATAAACCTGGAAGAAAGTTCTCTATTCACTGCAAGGGTATTCTTAACCAATGACTGACTACTGATAGTAACATTTAAAAGATCATCTACCAAAAGTCACAATACCAATAATGGAAAATACCTTCTCCAGTTTGGAATATTCTCCCACTTCAGGCTTCCCTTGATCCTTAGCCTGTAATTTAAAAGATACAACATATTGGGAAATCTCAAGAACCTAAAAGTCTTACAGACAAGAACCTAAAAGTTTCCTGGTCTCTGGGGCCAAGATGACGATGATGATAAATAAGTTATCTTCTATAAATAAAGACCAGGAGCTTTGCAGGTATCCCATTATTTCTCAAATGTATACTCATTAAGCTAGTATTTCCTTTATTCTCACTAAGGTCATCCATGATTCTACCCCCAAAACCCCATCCTGGCGGGTGGCTGGCTACCTTCATCAGTTTATGCTGACATTCTGTTGCTTTCCTCTTGAACTCTTCGGCGGCGAGCCGAGACTCTCTCAGCTCGGATTCGTAGAGATCACTCCGTCTTCTTGCCGAAACCAGATCCTCTTCCAACTGATTCATCATCAACCTCATTTCTTCCACTTGAGCCTGGTACTCCTAAAGAGCAGGCAATGCAAGAAAGGTGAACTTTAGAACTCCTAAAAGAAAGGAGAGGCAGTGAAGATGGAAGAACGTGGACCACAAAGGAAAGACGCACATTGAAGAGAGACTGACAGAGAACAGACCCAGAGAGAAGACGAGTAGAAAGACGGCCAAAAGGAAGAGGTGTGGGGAGGAAGGGGAGAGAGAAAAGAATATTAAATCTTTAAACTGTTTTAATGGAGATCATGTGTCATTCGTAACACTATTTGGAACACATGTGCCTATGCAGAATAAGATCCTTTGAGCAAATAACAGTGCAGAAGAGGCTCAGAACCTTCAGGCATTTGTAAACAGGAGAGCTGAAAGGGACGTTCTTTAAACAACCAGGATAAACTGCTTATGTGTAGCTTCCCTCCAAGGGTAATCATTTACATGGATTTGTCCTTTAGAAGTCATGTGCTCCTAACACAATTAGATATGGTACTAGTTTTAAAATTAACCTTTCAGACGGCACAAGGGGGTAATTGGAAATCTCGGCGGAAAGAATCTTGGAAGGTGAAACTCATCATATCAGTTTCTCACCATTAATTTTTCTGGGCCCAAAAGTGAATGATGAACTTAACATTGCTCTTGAATGCAAGTCACCCTGAAATTTGGAAGAGTCAGAAAACACTGGCTCTGGTCAAAATAACTTGCGAGAAAAATTCTGAAGAAAGAATTATCTTGTTCCCTCAAGCAAATGCTTTAAAGTGATCCAAATTGCCCGACCTTTTCCAAAATGAATTTCTAAAATCAAAACAGAGCATTTGAATCAAGGTTTTTCAAAATTGGATTTACCAGAAGAAACGGGCAATGGTTTTGAAAACTTTGGCGCAAAGTGTGAAAATATTCTTTGTTAGCAAAATCAAAGCTTATACACACAAGGATTATTAATGAGCATTAATCCAATCCAAAGTGTCTTTGGCAGGTGGGAGGGGATATAAAATGAAAAGGAATTGAATTAAGACTGTCTTTGACATTCACAATATACAGTGAACACCTCTAAGATCCATGATCCCAAGAAATAATGGAAGAGGTATCAATTGAAAAAGGATATGTTTTTAACCAATAAAATGTCACTGATTTTTGTTTTAATAATGGTATAAAATAAACCTTTCATCCCATTGTAGCAGGCAGTCCCCCAAGTGCACATTAAAGTGCACGTTATCTTAGGAAAGTTGGATAGTTTTCACGCAAGCACACCTCTCTATATCATTGGTAGAGGGAAAAGGAAAAAAATGAGCCCAGAGTGGAGCATGGTCTCATTTCACTCCCTCCCACCCAAAAGCATACTGTTACTGAAGGTTAATCCTAGAAGTCATGGGGCACTAGGTTTTCTGGATGATGTACACTAAGTGGGTGATGCTAGGTTATTCAGACAAAGGTCTTTTATAACCTGCTCACAATTATCTGAACTCACTGAGTGGAACATGAGCCGATTATGTGAAATGGTACATCCCTTACTTGAGGTTTTGCTAGACCCCTCGGACAGGGTCGCATTACGACTTTCATGGCTCCGGGCACTGCGCCTGCCTGGACCCCTTCCTCCATTAAAAAACTATATATATATATTAAAAATTATATTTTACAACTGCATTCATATGAAGACAAAAACATTAATATCACTTATGAAAACAATTGCTTTGACCTAAAAATCTCAATTTTTTTCTTCTGATTTAAAAAATTTGAAACGGCCCCTAAAAGTACCGTCGGCCCTGCCCACAGGCACAAACACCAAACTGTGGAGGAAGCAAAGAGCTGAGAGAAAATCTTGGGCATCTTTTATCCTCAAGCTCCCTTTTCTGTCTTATGTCAGCGAGAAAGGAAGGTAATTTTTGTGTTTTGTCAAGAGCGAGGACAGAGCACTGTTCCTTCCCCCCAACATCTCTCTTTCCTGAGCTGTCAGCACCCAGGGGGAGGAAGGCAAGAATCAGGCAACATCTCTGTCAGCTCTCTGAGCTCTTGGGGCACCCAGCCTGCTCCAAGCATCAAAAGTTGAGCCGCTGTTATTATGCTGAATACTTCAAGGAAATCCTATAAATCCAACAGCTAACCAAATCTCTGCTTCAGGAAAAATCTGAGAGCAGATAATCAGGTCTGTTTCCACGGGCAGCTGAGAGAGCTGTCGTGTCTCAGCACGGACTGAACTGGAGGTCAGAGTCGAGCGGGATCAGAACGGGGACCACGGACAACTTTCGAGGTCACCTAAAGGAGGTCTTCTGAATGGAGCTTCAGAATTTTGTGGGAAGGAATTCTCAGATATGCTCCTATTCAATCAGAAAACCCAAAACACAAATGCCTTCTGTGTTACCAAAACTTCTCTTTCCCTTCCTGGGAAGGGGGCGAGGGGAGTCCGCAACTGCTAGTAATGGTGCATGAATCAAACTATGACACTAGTCTCTTAGGTGTTTTTATTTTGAACCAAATCCAAATACTCTATAGGGGGTAGCTAAGGAGAAGCAAAATATTAATAAATAAATAAATAATCAGCTGTACAGGAATTAGCTTTTGAGAGAAAGAATGGGGAATAAATGTCGAATCTGGGAGGAAGTAACATGCTGCAAACCATACACTAGGAGTTTGCTGAAAGTATTAAATGTTTTTTCCTGGATTGCAAACATCCTGCCTGCTCTCACAAAACTTACGAAAAGTCATTTTAACAAACCTTTCTTCCAATGAGAAATAAAATCTGAAAGCGAGAAGTTTTCTTCCCCCCCCAATGGAACTTTTAGCAATCATTAAATCTGAAACTCCACAGGCACGCCAACTGTGATATGAATCATAAAAGCCATTTCTTTGAACTCAACCACCAACATATACCTTTTCAAAATGTCCAGATAATTCTGTTTCTATGGAACTCATGGACACCAGCTGCTCCCTCTGGTGGCCAAACACAGCTTTCATTTCCCCAGGACATCACCAAACGTCCATTTCCAAACACACTGAACTAATGGGAGAAAAAAACTCCTAGCTCTTGAAACTTTTAGGATGAAAACCTATGTTGATAAAAGGGGCATGAGTCAAGCGTCAAAGCAGATTTTTCAAACTGTACGTGTGGCCTTCACAATCTCTAAGATTAGTATTGTTGTTCAGAAACCTGATACCAGACTGCCACGTTTCCTATGCATGTTTATTTATAACATTTGTGGCAAGCAAGAGGATATTAACCATTTTAAACATGACAGTGATAAATAGATTATGCCAACAAAACCCCCAAAATAATTCTTTCTTTAAAGAACAGTTAACAGATCAAAGTATTTGCAGGAGTTTCTTTCATTATCACTGCCCAGATGGCTAAGTTTGTGCTACCCAGAGACAAAAATGTTCATTTTCATCACTGTTCCCATTAGATTTTCTGAAGTGAATGAGAGTTTCCTGGCAGCTGATAATTCAGTTCTCCAATTGCTCATTGCCATCTCTTCATTAAAGTTTCTATTTACAGTTTCTTCAAAGGACAGAAAAATCCATGCTAAAAAGGAAACAATGAAGCAAAATAAAAATGAACCATCTAGAAAGAAAATGCTTTTAGAAAGGAAAAAAAAAAAAGAGTATGCTTTTTAAAGATCTCAATTCTCTTTTTCTGAACACACAGGGATGGCTTTCTGCACTCAGATTTGCTGTGTTGTGACTCAGCCCTAACTGCTCAAACTCTTCTAAAATATTTCTTAATATAAGTAAAATTATGAATTATCCTGGCTTCTCTCAAAAACTTAAAGTGCATCTGAAAAGCTATAAAAATATTTAATTTTTTTTAATGGTCCAAAGCAGAGGCTGGCAGACTTTTTCTGTAAAAAGCTAGAGAGTAAGCAATTTCAGCTTTGCAAGCCACATGGCCTTTGTCACAACTACTCACCTCTGCCATTACAGCATGATAAGCAGCCATGGACAATATGTAAATGAATGAGCATGGCTGTGTTCCAATAAAACTTTATTTATGGACACTGAAATGTGAATTCCATATAATTATCACGTCATGAAATATTATTCTTCTTTTGATTTTTGTTTTTCCCAACCACTTAAAAATGCAAAAACCATCCTTAGTGTGTGGCCATGGAAAACAGGTGGTGGGCCTGATTAGCCCCAGAGGCCAAAGTTTGCTCTTGCTTTAAACCTACACCTTTATTGAACAGAGTAGCCATTTGGGGGCGCAGACTTCAAAAGGGACCAGAACAAGCACTCTAATATTTATATAAATCATGGGGAATCCAAAGTTTCCAAATGACCTACATACCTCTCTCTCCTCCCACCTCCCTTTCTCTTTCCCTCTGTCTGTCTCTCAAACACACCTCTCCTGAAATTAGAGGTCCAAGTTGCCTCCCTGCTCCTAGACAGGCTGTCATACCTGCTCTTTGATTTCTTGGAGCTTCCGGCTCTGCTCTCTGATATCATGGAGAAGCTGGAGTGCTTTGTCATCCTCCTGGGATACCTCCATCCGTGCTTGCTCCAAACTTCGCTTTAAGCTCTGCGGAAAGCAAAAATTTTAATAGGGATGCCCTGTGGATCCTGCTCGGGTTGAAAAGATTCATTAAGGGAGCTGCAAGCTGCTTCGCAGACACCAAGACGGTTTCAGGTGACGAACCAAAGTTGACAACCTCCAGTTGGTTGCTGATTCCAGTTTCCATCCTGTAAAACTCATTGGTTCAGAAAACATCATCTCAACCTTGTGACCTTATGGATCCCGACTGAAATTGCATCAGCCTGTCTTCTACCACCATCCACCTGTCCTAGCAGATACTTACTTGTATATTCAGGACTAAAAACGAATGCGATCCCTTAGCTGTTAAGCCACCATTGGGATGGCTACAAAGTCTTTTCTGGAATATCAGTTATTCAAGGACTTTCAAGTATATATCCCTCTTTCAAAGTAGCAATGACTTCATTCTCTGCCCAGGTGTCATTTAAGACTCCAAGCAGTCTATTTCCACCTCCTGGCTTATATTTCCTGGACACCTTTCATCCATAAGTTTCCCTCAATGCTTCAGTGGCACTGAAATATATATCTGAAATTCATAGCTGAATAACTTCACCCACCACTGAAAGGCAGCCAAATCTGGAATGGAAACATAGCAGTTATTCTTAATCAGCCACGTTCTATAGATTTCCTCTCCCTTGTGGAAAAAACTTGAAAAATGTGTGATTCAACTTCTCAAGACTGTTTAATTGAGCACATTAAAAACACCTGAATGAAAATTTTAACGAGACAATGGAGAAGACAGTCTACTCTTGTGAAGGAAGGAAAAAAAAGTCACATGGTAAATAATGACAGAGGGTCTGGGTTTTAAAGGCTGAACTTTCTTGTCACTACACTGGCTCTAGGCAACGGAAAACTGATTTCAGGCAGATTCAAAATACATTTTCCTGATTCTCCAGGCTGACTGTGTTGGACATGATGTAGACAGAAAGGCTGGGATGGGAGATGTTAGGACCCTTTGCGACTCACTGCAATGATGACTATGCCCATCTCCAGGCTCCATGGCCTACCTGGACTTTCTAGAGTCCAATCTTATTTCTCTGGGACCTCATGCTACTCTGAAAATCACAGATCTTGCTTTTGTACTCTCCCTCTCTCTGCTCTCTGCCATTGGCTGTGATGTGCCTCATGAAGCCATCATGAAACAGGATGAGACACGCACAACAGGAAGTGCCACCTCCGAGGGAAGGGGACTTTGGGGAAGGCTCACACTGCATTCTGTGATGTAGGTAGCAAGGTCCTGCTCCAGGAGGGATCTCTGAGTCTCAGAGGCCTTCAGCTCCACCTCCTTCTGACTAAGCACAGCCTCCACCTCTGACACTCTCCGATGTAACCGGGTCATTTCCTGCTCCATCTGAAATAAACACATCGACATGTTAAAAAGGCCCGTGGAGGTTCGCTAGGAGCAATCAAATCTCAAGTAGCCTCCGAAACCACCTGGTGGTCTGGGCTGGCGCTAATTTGCCAAAGGTTGGGATGCAAATACCATTGTTTCTTCGCCCAGGAGCACACAGTTCTTCGTAAGGACAGTCACCAATGCTAAGTCACTCCTCTCATTCAAGTCTCGGTTCACACTTGATCACTTCTCTAACCCAATGAGCAAGGAAGCCACAAGCATCATTTTTCACCTGTTTGCTTTTTTGGGTTGGTTTGGATTTTGCAGACGTCACTTTAATTTTATCCCAAATCCATCTTGATCCCCCCCATCTCCTGGCAAAGATCTAGAGGACAAATCCAGGACGGGGCAAGGAGATATGTATTCGTCTGCACTCTTAGGAGTCCCAGGCAAGTAGTGACTTTTATGAGCTTCCAGAGAGCTGCCCCTGGGCAGGAACAGTGAGTGTTAAGAGACGTAGAGCATAATCAACACAGTGGCCGCAGTTACATAAGCAGATGTTTTAAGAGACTAGGAAGAGAGACTTCACATCACTCAAAGCAGATGGGATGCATCTGGGCCACAGGTGAGGACCCACGCCACCTGCCGGAAGAAGCAGACATCTGGCTGGGTCATGCTGAGGAACGGGCCGTTTTAAATCCAGGGCCTCCTCTGGTTAAGATTTAAAGGATTTACGGCAACGTCAAGGCCCGAATTCATCTCCCTCTGAGCTGCCGGAGGCTCGACTTCAGCGAGGGAGGGAGCGCCTCGCTCGCTCGGTATGGATCAGGTGGCTCAGCGCCAGCAGCGGCCCCGGGTGGATCCCTTGGCATATATTGACGGGAGGATCCTGGAGCAAGGAGGGAGGCCGGCTTTGGAAATAAATACCTTGTGACACTTGTCCTGGGAGTCTTGCAGCTCTTTGCTTTTGATGAGAAGTTTCTTTTCCATGGAGCTAGTCTTGGCAGGGGAGTCCAGACTTGAGACAACAGACCTAGACAGAAGAAAACCAGTGTCAAGGTGGCCAGTGGGTGGGCCTGAAAAGCCGCACTCAGAAGCTGCGGCAGAGACGACAGACCTGCCAGAGCTCTGTGGCCCTCCACAGAGCTGGCTCAAGCAGCTTCTAATGACAGCAAGGCCATGAGGCAGCGAGGTGGACAGAAGCAAGGACTCGGGAAGGAGGCAGACCTGGCTGTAAACTCAGCCACCACTGACCTGAGGCAATGATTTAGCCTCTCTGAGCCTCAGTTTCCATATCTGTGAGGTGGAATGAGAAAAGGACCTAGCACGCAGGAGAGTGTGAACATTCAACGCAGAGCATTGTGCCTACATGGCTTCATTCGCTAACTCACTCCACAGATATGTACTGTGCACCTACTCTGTTCCAGAAACTGTTCCAGGCACTGGAACAGCAGTGAACAAGACAGACATGGTCTCTGCCCTCCTAGAGCTGACATTCATAGAGGGCAGACAGAATGCATCAGGCAGACACACAAACAAAAAGGTTACAGATGATGACAGCTTCATCAAAGAAGGAAACAGAGTGATGTGATATGACAGAGGAAATGGATCGGGGGCCTGCTTTAAGGAAGGGTGATCAGGGAGGGCTTCTCTGAGGGGGTGACATTTGAGCTGAGGCCTGAAGGATAAGAAGGTGCAGCCCATCCAAAGCTTTGGAAAGAAACAAACTCCAGAAAGGAGGGATAACAGATGCAAAAGCCCTGAGGCAGGACAGAGCAAACATAGCAAGTACCCATAAACGTTATTAGTTACTATACTGATCAAATTGTTGTTTATTCCATCCTCAAGATAGCCAGTTTGCTTTTATTTCATTTTATAAAAACAGCTAATGTTTACCATGGTAGGCCGAATAGTGACCCACCCCCAAGATGTCCACATCCTAATCTCCGGAACCTGTGAATCTGTTACCTGACATGGCAAAAGGGATTTAGCAGATGTGATTAAGGTAAGGGTTTTGAGATGGGGAGATTATCCTGGATTATCTGGGTGGGCCCGATGTAATCACAAGGGTCCTTTTAAGTTGGAAGCAGAGGAAGGGAGGAAATGTGATGACAGGAGGGTCAGCGTGAGAGAGATTTGAAGACGCTACATTCCTGGCTTTGAAGATGAAGGAAGGGGCAATGAGCCAAGGAACTTGGGAGGCCTGTAGAAGCTGGAAAAGGCCAGGAAACTGATGCTCTCCTAGAGGCTCCAGAGGGTGCAGCCTTGTCTACACCTTGATTTCAGCCCAGTAAAACCCACCTCGGACTTCTGACCTCCAGGACTCTTAAGATAATAAATTTGTGTTGTTTTAAGCCCCTAAATATGTGGTAATTGTTATAGCAGCAACAGGAAACTTGTACACTTATCGAGCACTGACTACATGCCTGGTTCTGTTCTAACACTAGACATGTTTTAACTCTTTATTCCCCACAACAACTCAATGAGGCAGATGCGATTTCTTACCCTCATTTTATGGATGAGAAAATTGAGAGAAGTAACCTGCCAGTAAATGAATGGCTTCTGTTAGTCTCAATAGAGAGCTGGAGTAGAGAGACTGACTTGATGCACCTGATATAACTCTCAGAAAAATATCACAAAAATACTGTAGTGTGGCCTCCTGAGAGTGGGCTAAAGGATGTTCTCTCCACAAAAAGGACGTACTTACCCACACATGTATATATAACCCACATCCTCCACCTCATCCCAAAAGCAGTTATTTATGGGTGGAGATGACAGTTCTCATCCAGGGCAGCTTCTCTCAGTGACTAGCACCCTCAGCATGAACACTGGGATTGGTGAAGGGCAGCCTGCAAATGTTCTTACACATGGAGGGATGTGTGGCCGAGCCCACCACTGCCCCACAGTCCCATCTTTGTTGCCTTGGTAACAGAGCTGCAGGAGCTGGTTGTCAATTAGCATTCATGTCTTACCAGCATGTGAAAGTTCTGCTTTCTGCTGCCCCAAACTACTTCCCTGCCTAAAAGAGGTCAGTTTCCTGCAGCAACTCAGAACACCTTTTTCCCCACAGCTCCTAGCCCAGGGACAAGGGCTGGCATGATAGTGCTGGCTTGCGATACCCAGTGACAGCTCCCTACATACACACTATAGGGCAGCCAAGTGAGTCGACATCCAGAGTCAGGCTGCTCCGTTCAAAATCTGACTCCGCCACTCACTATCTCTGTGACCTCTCTGAGCCTCGGTTTCCTCATCCGTAAAATGGGGATAACTCTCAACCTATTTCGAAAGGTTCTTGCAAGGATTAAATGAGATAACCCAAGTAAAGCCCTTAGCACAGTGCCTGGCACATCACGAGGGTTCAATAAACATCAACTATTACTATTATTATTGTCATTTTAATCATCAGTCCCCATGCAATGGCGTAAATAGCAATGCCTCACAGGCCTAAAACGGTTGCTTGAAATAGGAAAACTCAGGGGGCTGAATTTGCTCTGCGTAATTATTCACATTACAACAAATGTTGATTATTCATAAAAATGGGCAACAGGGATTGAAATCCAGAAATAAATCTTTTTTAAAATCTCACTTTGGGCTAAAAATTTTAACCAATTTCTATACTTCTCATTGCCTGTTTTCTACCTAAATCTAGCCAAAACACATACATACACACACTTTTTTCTCCGTGTTATTCCGAGATGAAATGGGTTGCTCAGCATAGCCTTGAGCTGCCCCAGCTACTTCCTCTATTCTTGACTCTGCTCTAGTGGGTGAGCTAGAGAAGACAACCCAAAGCACCCAGGCAGGGAGGGACGATCCACAGACGGGGTCATTGGTCCTTCAGTAATCAAGAGTCATCCACATGTCACTAAGTCACAAGCACTGATATAAGTTAGGGATGACGACAGAGGACACAGCTTTTTGTGCCCAAGCTCAAAACCAGCACCCTTTTAAAAAAACTATTAGCTGGGTGCATGATGGTAGGTGAGAAGTGGCTTCCAAAACTTGATGACACATGGAGGGCACACTCCAACAGTGTTTAATGTTTAAAGTGTGCTGCTATGGATAAAAAACTGATTGCTTATTCATAAATAAATTTAAAAAAAAGCTTTTCTAGGGCACTCATTAATGGGGCACAGAATCGAGGAGATGTGCAGCCCCCACCACTGGCACTTGCGGGAGACGATGTGACAGCCCTTCTTGTCACCTAAGGTCCAACTCCCTCATTCTGCTATTTTGATGCTTGACAAACATTCACCATTTAGAAGTTCTAAGTACAGCAATTAAGAGCTCTTCAGAATAAAGGTGCTAAAGACATCATTTTTTTTTAGAATAAATAAAAATCACATCTAAAAAAGGCTATGGTAAGAATGCTGTGACTAACTTGGCTTATAGCAACAAATCCCATAAACAATAACGGGATTGGAGCATGAGGCTGGAGGATAGAGGGGGAAAGGTCATCCGTCACAGCTTTCTAGAACTTCCCTGGTCTTCAACCCAGCTGCACATTAGAATCACCTGGAGAGTTTTAAAAAACATGGATGTCAGGCAATGAAAATACTCTGTGTGATACTATAATGGTGGATACATGTCATTACACAAATGTCCAAACCCATAGAATGAACAACACCAAGAGTGAACCCTAAGGTAAACTATGGACTTTGGGTAATAATGACATGTCAGTGTAGGTTCATCCATTGTAACAAATGTACCACTCTGGTGGGGGATGTTGATAGTGGGGGCAAGGGGTATATGGGATGTCTCTGTACCTTCCTCTCAATTTTGCCGTGAACTTAAAACTATAGGGCCCGCCCAGTGGCAGAGTAGTTAAGTTTGCACACTCTGCTTCAGCAGCCGGGGTTCGCAGGCTAGGATCCCGGGAGTGGACCTACGCACTGCTCATCAAGCCACGCTGTGGTGGCATCCCATATACAAAATAGAGGAAGATGGGCACAGATGTCAGCTCAGGGCTAATCTTCTTCAGCAAAAAGAGGAAGATTGGCAATGGATGTTAGCTCAGGGCTGATCTTCTTCACAAAAAAAAAAAAAAAACTGCTGTAAAAAAATAAAATCTTTAAGAAAAAAAAACAAAACTGATGTCCAGGGCCCAACCAGACCAATTAATTCAGAGACAGACAGACTGGGAGTAGGTCGGGGCAGCATCATTTTTATTAAGCTCCAAGGTGATTCTAATGTACAAACAGGATTGAGAACCGTGGTACTAATTAGGGTCTAGGCATTTAAAATCATAGTATGACTGTCCCCAGCATTTGGTTCTAGGTGGCATTTTGGCCACACCATTTGGTACTGGTGCCTTTTGGTCATTCTTTGAGTGGAACACAATTCTGAAGTTAATCATGGTGGGCTATGAATTTCAAGACAATGTACAGGTTTCAGACAATGAGCAAAGACTATTCCTATTCCCCAGTTTTAATAAGTCAACTAAAATATACCATTTCCATAAATTTCTATAAAAGAAATATACTAAAGAGAGATATGGCTCAACTTAACATTTTTATATTCTATTAACTTTTCATGTAGACACTTAGGCCAATTCAATCACCAGCACCAATGATGAACTCTCAGTATTTCTTTAACAAATAGATTCCTCCTCATAGATATTATGAAATATTCTCACAACTTATTTTCTTTTTCTAGGATTTTCATTGGCCATCCTTCTGACTTTCAAAGCACAGCAACGGCAAAGTATTGCTGACATCTGCATTATTCTAGAATTGACCATAACGTAAATCATAGCTTGAGAGGTTCGATCCAAAGCTGGCCTCAGAGCCACCACACTACTACCAAATACAGCCCTGTCCTGTTCAAGTAGCAACTCTGCTGGCCTAAAATCATCCTCAAAAGTACCATTTCATCAAGAGTGGTATTACTGAAAGAGCTGATGTTATTGCTGCTTTTAGGAAAGTCTACAAAAAATCCTGTAACTGGTTGGAACTCTAAAGTTACGGGTGATAGGCACAGAATCACTGTAAAGAAACTTTCTAATCATGAAGTCTTGCTGACCCTGGAATGGGA